CCTTCGGGTGCGTTTGTGAAAGATCTTGCTCCTTTTGAGGATGAAGATCCAAAAACAGGGGTTGATGCGGATGGCACTTGGGGTGCTTGTTGTCCTAACGAGTTTGCTTTGCTCCTCGTAACTGGTCCAAAGCTTCCAAAAGTAACATCGAGGATGCTTTCCACATCAGCATAGAACCTGGAATTAGCAGCCTTGGTGGAAGTTGAACTGAAGTTGATTTTCTTTGAAGCCATTTCAATGTTCTTGAACTTTGGTGATTGAAAAGTTGAGATGAGAGGTAGAGATTGTCCCACTGGGCGTACCAGAATTTGTAGACAATAAATTTGCTTCAGGAAAATAAAATTAGGCCGAAAAATATTGCAACAATCGTAGTATTTTATTTCAAATATTTGAGTATTACAATCTCTATGAATCCTCTGATTCTTCTTTTCAACAGTAAATAAAAGAGCCTTTGAGCTTAATCTTGAATTTTAATTTATTTTAATCCAAGTGCTTGAGGCCTAATCTTGATCTTGACGTATTTTTAATCCAAGGACTTGCAGCTTGTTCTTGAATCTTCGTCTTGATCTTTTAATCCGTAGAACACATGAATGCTTGTAGCTTTTAGAGAAATCTGCAGCGTTTGATCCACGAGCTCCCTCTTGCTTCTTGTTATAACTTCTGGTCCCCTTTCTGGGTTATGAAGATCCTTATTTATAGTTGTGGAAGGGAGAAGTTGTGATAAGAACAAACTCTTTCCGACCAATCAGATTGAGGAGTAACAAGGCCGCATTTGATTGGCCAGAACATGTCACTTGCATATGTGGCGCGATTTCATTGGCCTTTTAATGTGACTTGGCATGCCTTGTCATTTTGATACGTGACATGATCATATTGGCTCTTTCATTTGACTTGGCGTGCCACGTCATTTGACATGTGGCACCAAACTGGGCCTCTAGGAAGATGACATCTTGGGCTCATCACTTTAGCCCAATTAAATGGGCTAGCCTAATGTATTAAGACTTATTTATTTAATCCATAAAAATGGGACATATACAATTAATCCACTTATATTAGCCCAATAAATTTATTTGAACTAATATATCTTGAATTTCAAATAGAGTCCAAATTATTTTATGAACTTAATTTTAATAAAATTTATATGTCTACATATACATACAACTCATATAATTTGAATGTGTATCACTATTTTAATCTTATAGCATTATTTTATTATCCGATAACTTCAAGTACTCACACGTCCCAAAAGAACAACAGGTTTTAAAGTAAAAAGTTAAACCATTTAATTTTCTGCCTCCATATAGACATCAATTTTTGGAATCTTTTAAAATAAAATTAAGGGAGATTTGCAGATATATAAAGCCCAACATACTGTATTGCAGTTTTTCACTTTTCATCTGCATAGCCAACATTTGTTTTGCAACAAATCTTGGTTCAAAAATTTTCTTAGAGCTTTACAGGGGAGAACCAAACACTGTAGGGATGGCAATTTTTAGCCCTACTAAAATTTTGCCCCATTCAGATCATGCCGCGTTTAGCCCTAAACTAAGTATTTCTTTTATTTTTATCCACTTAATATTATATCCAGCTTCTTTTTTTACTTTTGTAATTTTCCAATTTGTGTTGTTATTGATTGTTATTTTAATTAGATTTCTTTGCAAGAATTTGATGACGTAAAAGCGCTAGTTGAACATGGATTAAATACTCAGTTTTATTTTAATATTTAGCTCATAATCAAAGTACGATAAGCAAAATGGATTAATCTCATCTTCAAATATCCAAGTAGATCAATATTTTGGGAAAAAATATTGGCTATATGACAACTTGTATACTCTCTGTTCTTTTCCATATCAATTCATTTTTATGGACTTTAGTAGAATCAAAGTTTATTATATGCAAGAATTGTTTTAGAACCTTCTAAATAGTACGTGAACTCACTTAAGACTCTTGAGTAATTCTACGTTGTACAATACAATAATAGATTTGCAACAATGGTAAAATTGAACAACTTTATTTGATTCAAACATTTAAATTGCTTTGAAGAAATATCCAATTTAAAATATTCTGACACAAGATCCGTTTGGGAGCTTCTGATGAAAGAACCATTTGGGAGCTCATGGAAACAAGCTATAAATCCTTTTTTTTCTCTTAGAGAAAACCTTATTTTTGAATAAAACTAGTAAATTTGTCTGCGCTTCGCGCGGTCATAAAAAGAGCTAATTTTTTTCTATAATATTTGAGTATTTAAAAAAATTTAGTCCTTAAGTCCAAATATGGAATATATTTCAAGTTTTAATTCTTTTTATAACTTGTTTCTCTAATTTTAATCACTTGAGATTATTTTACTTTTTCCAAATCTTCCTTTTCTTTCTTCCTCTGTAACTTCCCAGTAATGAAAGTAACTAAAGAGACTTAAAAGCACAAAAATAGTATGCAAGTAAAGAGACTAAAAGCACTAATGAGCGGATACAGGGAATTGATTGGCGATATAATTTAATTTATTCATTTTTCAATGCAAAAAATTTTGAATGAATCGTCTTGTCATGTATGTAGGATTGCATTATATATCATGAGCTGAAGAAATGTTCAGATGCAAAAACTTAACCACCTTTTCTCTCAGCACCCAACTATATATGTATTCCAGCAATTACCATAAATTGGAGGATCAACACAGGCATGAGAAATTAATGTGCCAGAAGAATAAGGCTTTGATGGCTTGCTTCCCAGTTATAGTGAATACAAGACAATTTCATAAAGATAACTGTTGAAGATGAATACACTTGGCGAACATGTAGTATCTCTCTTCGTTCGATTATCTAATCATGAACGAAAAAGAAATGGAATTCTTATAACGTAAAACATACCTTAACTCCTAATTCTGATCAACTCAAGACTTTTGTCACACTACACATGAGTCCAAAAGTCTCGCGAAGTAGGCCAAAAGTTGTATGATTAATTCATTCCATACGAAAAAATTTTAGATCAAATATAATTCTCGCAAAGTAGGCCAAAAGTTAAGCTACTGTCGTTCCTAAATCCCAATAGATGTGTTCAATCTCGCAGGAGAACAGCAAAATCCTTTGGATGTTTGGCTCACCATAACTAATACATTACCTAAGTATTATTTTGTACTTGAAAGCAGGGGCGGAGCTACAGTAGAGGGTGCAGGTTCGGGCGCACCCAGTGACTTTTTCTGAAACCCTATATTTGTATTGAAAATTTTACTGTTTCTATATAAATATATCATGCCGAACTCAGTAACAAAAGAGGTTTGGGTTCAATGGTAAGAGTTCTTGGTTCGCGCAGAGAACACGTGGGTTCGAATCCCGCTCGAAGCAGTGTGCTTATTTTGTTGTTTTTTACAAAAACAAATATCATAAAGCACAATTGTTTTTTTACAAAAAAAATATCAGAAAATACAAACTAAGGACAATGTAATTCTCGAACAACTACAAAAAGAATTTCAGAAAGCACAAACTATAATTCTCAAACAACTCCAAAGGACACTTTTTGACTTACTTTAGACTAAAATTTATTCTTTTTAATACATAAAACATAAAGCATTTTTTCTTTCTAATAAACAATTCATTTTAAACAAAAACAGCCAACACACCTTTTGTCTTTCTAATTCCCAAATCAAAAAAGCTAGATTTCTTTGCCTCTGTCAGTCTTTTGATGATTTGATCGCTGCTACAACCCTCTGCCGGAGTCGGATACCCTCAAACTATCGTTGTGTATGCTCTTACTCTCTTAGAAGTTAGACCCTTCTTTCTTCTTCAATTCCTCTTTCCTGATTTTTTCTCTTCATGTTTTCCTCTTATATTTTATATTTGACAATTTATACAAAATCTGATTTTTAATCTTTGATTCTAGGGTTGTCCCACATTTTGAACTTCATTCTCTTTGTCAATTTGTGCTTTTATACTTTTCAAAAGTTCAAACTTGGATTCTCCGACAAATCGACACACAAGGTATGTGGTCCTACTTTCTTGTTTTTAGTTTCTTAGTGAGACCAACTTTTGGGTGTAATTTTGTTTTGTATTTTTTAGGGTCTTGAAGTGTAATTTTATTTTGTAATTTTTAGGGTCTTCTAGCAAAAGTCGATATGATCACGAGTTTTTACAAAACTCAAGCTTTTGCATCTTCTTCTAGCTCTCCTTTGTCAAGTTCTCTATGTCCAGTTATTAGTAACAATATTAATCTTTCCCAAGCATCGGATAAAGTGTTGGATTATGAGTCCGATCCTGCTGAAAGAAAACCAATTTCAGCATATCCACCTAATTTACGTGACAGAGTAAGGAGAAATTATATACAAAATGGACCTTGTCAACCTCGTGGTTTTGTCTTTCCAAAAAGAGATTTTGGAGTAATAATGCGTCAGTTTAATCCTGAATGGTTTAAAACTTCATGTTCTCAATGGTTAGAATATAGCATTAAACAAGATGCAACATTTTATTTATGTTGTTACTTGTTTAAAAATGAGATTGGAGGATATGAGAAAAAAGTAGGTGATGCTTTCACAACAAATGGTTTTAGAGGTTGGAATAAAGGTTTAGAAAGGCTTAAATCACATGTGGGTAATGTGAATAGTGTTCATAATCGATATTTCAAGATGATGCTAGATTTAATGAATCAAGCACAATCTATTCTAACATCTTTGGACAAACAATCTGAGAAAATTAAAAGTGAACATCGAGTTCGTTTGAATGCTTCAATTGATGTGATAAGGTATCTTTTGAAAGAAAGAATGCCTTTTTGGGGCCATGATGAGAGTGTAACTTCTACAAGAAGAGGCCATTTTTTTAGATCTTTTAAAATGGTATGCAGATAGGAAGGAAGATGTGAAAAATGTGGTATTAGAAAAAGCTCCAAAAATAACACCATGACTTCTCCTGATATTTAAAAAGATATTGTGAATTCTTGTGCAGAAGAAACGGTGAAAGCAATTATTGAAGACTTGAATGGGAATTTTTTTGGGATATTAGTTGATGAGTCTAAAAATGTCTCTCATAAGGAACACATGGCTCTTGTTCTGCGCTAATGTCAATAAAGAGGGTGAACTTATTGAGCAATTCCTTGGTCTTGTTCATGTTAAAGATACAACTGCACATGCATTACAAAAAACAATAAATTCTTTGCTTTTACAACATTCATTGAGTTCATCTTTAATACGGGGACAAGGGTATGATAGAGCTAGTAACATGCAAGGAGAAATTAATGGTCTTAAAGCTTTGATTCTGAAAGATAATCCTTCGGCATATTGCGTACATTGCTTTGCTCATCAATTGCAATTGACTCTTGTAGCTGTTGCAAAGAAACACCATGATATAAATAATTTTTTTGACATTCTTGCTAATGTTCTGAATGTTGTTGGAGGTTTTTATAAGCGTAGGGAGATGCTTAGAGATGATCAAGCTGAAAAATTAGATGAGTTATTAGTGCTTGGTGAAGTTCATACAGGAAGTGGATTAAATCAAGCACTTGGGCTTCAAAGACCAGGTGATACCCGTTGGGGATCTCACTTTAAGACATTGCGCAACTTTATATCTTTATTCTCATCAATTGTTCATGTACTTGGAGTTCTTGCAAATGAGGGTTCAAATTATCGGAGAAAGCACTGGCAAAAAGTCTAGTAGAAGATATAAGATCTTATGAGTTTGTGTATATATTACATTTGATGTTAAAAATAATGGCAATTACATATGATTTGAATATGGCTCTGCAAAGAAAAGATCAAGATATTGTTAATGCTATGAAACTTGTTCATTTCACAAAGAGGCAATTACAAACAATGAGGGAATCTAAATGGAATTCTTTGTTAGAAGATGTCTCTTCGTTTTGTGATAAGAATGGTATTGTGATCCCAAAAATGGATGAGAAGTATGGTCTTCGAAAGTCTAAGCGTAAAAGCTCAACTGTTACATATTCTCATCATTTGCATGTAGAAATTTTTTGTGCCGCTATTAATTTGCAACTTTCGAAGCTTAACAATCATTTTAGTGAAGTGAATATTGATCTGCTTTTTGGTATGGCTAGTTTGAGTCCCGATGATTCTTTTGCAAATTATGATAAAAATAAGATTATGAAACTTGCTACATATTATCAAAAT